TCTCACCACTGGTCCTGAGGGGTTATCTGTCCTGGATTCCCTGTATTTCCAATTCCTATCTGTGCCAGTGTATATCCTCTGGTCCAGCCGGATATGTAAGGTAGAATTGGGATCATGATAGTCGGGGGGAGGAAGCATTCAAGAACTAGAGGAAAATTGTATATTTCATTGTTGCTACACTGCACCCTGACTGGCTTGTCTCCTCCCCGCAGCCCTTCTGCAAGGGGATGTTGTCCTATTTCCCACAGATGGGCCCTGGGTCCCCACTCTGCACTCCTCATTCACAATGCTACGATTTTTTTATTATTTGGTCTTTGCTGCCTGATACCTGATCCCTTAGATGCCTTGTGATCTCACAGGCTGGTGTGCTTCTTCCATGTGGGCTTTGTTGTTTCTCAGTTAGATGGCTCCTTGTTAATTTTCCAGCCTATAGGAATCCAGATTCTATATCTTTTGACAGCAGGCCACTGTCAGCTTTCTTCACCCCACCCAGAATGCAAAAAAAAAAAAAAAAGGCACTACACAAAGGAAAACTAAACTACCCCAAAGGTCTCATTTTAAAAATAAGACCTACTGAAAATTGATGAGCTTTATGCCTATCTTTAGTTAAGATTTACTCCATGAAGATAACTTAGTGTCTTGATGAAAATGGCATATTGTTTATATTGGTTACATATTGACATGATTTAAATTGCAGTGATAAAAATAAAACTATGCAAAAGCAAACAGGCATAAAGTAGCAATCTTATGATTCTGAAATTAATAACCTAGGAACACACAATGCTGTCATTTTTACTTCAAAAAAAGCACACAAACATGGTTGGTGAAGAGACAGATCTCAAATATAGTGTTGTAAAATCTGAGGCAAACCTGCTCAAAAAAGAAGCATATTTTCCCATTTGCACTCTACCATTTTCTTTTAAAAATGTGGAACCCGAGTTTCAATATTTTTATACATACCAAAATGAATTCCACCAAATCGCAACTCTGACAATGATCTATAATTTAAAAAGTGGGATCCACGGGAAGAATTTGGACCTTAAGATAGAATGTTAAGCAAAAACGGAGTGTGCAGGTTGGCCAAAGCATACCGGCTTTACTCTGTAGAGCCGATCAATAGATATTCGCTTTAAGAAGAGAGAAAGAAGCTGCCGCATATTTTCTAAATGACAAGGTGAAGGTTTAAATTGTCTCAATCAAGATTCAATTTTTTTCTACCCAGTTTTTCCAGCTGTTCTCCTCCCGCTAAGACTATTCATTGCAAGTAAATTCAATTAGTTCCAATTGATCATCACCAACATTTATACATCCATATTTTCTTTGCCTTTTAAGACAAATACTAACAAAGACTGGGAGGCTTCGCTTCGGGTGTCCTAAGGCAAACATTCACAGCTCACTCATTTCCCATCCAAGAGGAAAATTCCAGTAAGGATCAAAGGATCATCCTGCCTTTTGAAAACACACGACCTCCACTGCATGTCACCTTTTAAATGTGCTCTTGGTCAGATTGTTCAGAGCATCAAGTTCTTGATTACTAGCAAAAAAACATGTGTGCACCTATGCACATTAGCCTAACCACAGCTTCCAAATAAGGGCTCACTCGATCAGGCACATTTCTGTCGTGGTAGAATCTCTAGTTGCTTTATAAAAATGCTAAAAGGGGCAATTCTTTGTTTTGGTATCTAAAAAAGAGGACACATCAGGCTTCTTTCAGAGCCAGTGGTCCAACTGGCCCATCTCCCCTTGGGGCAGTTGTGCTCACCCCACATGAGATTGCTGTGCTGCAAGCCGGTTTCTCGCGATGCAGCCACCGTAGTTCTCATAATGCAATTTATATAGGATTCTAGTCAATGAAGCGAAATACGGTTTTCTTCTAAACATTCACAAAAATCCATACCACTGCTTAATCAAGTCACACACCCGAAAGGCAGCCAAAGCAAGCCACAGTCTCTCTCTCTCTCTCTCTCTCTCTCTCTCTCTCACACACACACACACACACACACACAAGAAAGACACCCTAAACAAGCCACAGACACCACCATGCAAGTTGCTTTGACAACATGCTAAGGAAGCCTTTTTCAGTTACTTAAATCGGCGGGATATTGAACTGTCCTGTCTCACGTGCCCGTGGCATGAAACGAATAACTCAACTGATAAGAGACATTCATCACATATGTTTAACCACATTCTTACAGATTAAAATATAGTTTATGTCGCATTAACGCACTCATCACCACCCTAGCCTCTCATTGTCCAGCCTCTTGCTTTGTTGAGCGAGCAGGGCTAACCCAGCAGTGCTCTCTGTTTGGGAGCACACAATTCCTAACTTCCAATGCACTGGTTTGATAATGCTACCTTGAGGGCACACGAACCCATTATTTCTTCCAGAAGGCCAGTTGAGCTACTCGACTAGATGTGAAACTCAAAAAGAAGCACCTTTTTTTCTTTTTCCTGTGAATGAAACAGTTTACTTTTTATAGAAAAGGCATTTAAACCTGACAAGGGGAATGAAAACCAAACAAACATTATAACAGTAAAAGGACAGCAATGAAATTGAATAAGAGAAGGTGTAGTTGTTAAACATCCACCAGTGAAATATAGCGACTGAACCAACTTCCCGAATGATGAAGGGCTAAGTGACTTTCAGAAAGGCTGGAAGTTTCTGAAATGATGTAGGCTTGAGTTGGGCAATGGTTTTCTCACCCAGGAACTGATGCACTAGAATGAAAAAGTAACAGGTAGCCACCACCACCTCTCCCTTTTACTGGGAAACAAATGCGACCCACCTTGGACAGCTGCTTATTTGCATGCATGATGTCACGAGTCTGACATTACAATAACATACAGAGTAACTTCACTACCCTAAACAATTTTTTTTTAATCCTTCTCCTTACCCCTCTGGTGACCACTGATGTTTTCATTGTTTTATCTTTTGTAGAGTGCTATACAATTTGAACTAGGTGGGTAATGAAGGCTTTGCAAGTGCTCAAAAAAAAAGATGGTCCCCTCAAGGTTTTCCACAGTGGAAAATGTTAAAGCCATTAGGTGGTAACGGTTTGACGTGATGCTCAGCTGAACTGGGCTGATACCAGGTGAGAATGAGTCAGTCAGTACAGGTGACTCAACAGGCTCCATATACACTGATTATCATGTGGACAGTAGGGGGTTACCGCGAGCCAACTCAGCTGGAGCTAACACGAACCAATCAAGAAAAACAAAACCACAAGCTCACTGCCATCGAGCCCATTCTGACTCCAGCGACCTTATAGCACGTGGCCCCACGCACTGGGCTGCTCTCTGGCGGGCCACCAGCTGCTCCGCTTCTGTCCAGTCTCAGGGCCCACAGGGACAAGTCTACCCGGCCCTGCAGGTAGCAGTGAGTCAGCATCGACCCGATGGCAGTGCACTTGGTTTTTTATAGGACAGGGCAGGATGCTGCTGTGGGTTCGAAGCCGGGAACACTTCATGAGCGCAGAAAGCCCATCCTGGGCCCGAGGAGCAGCTGGTGGATTTGGATTGATTTTGTGACGCGCAGCCCAATGGGCAACCCATATGCCACCAGGGCTCCCTCAACAGCATATGAAAAAATGGAACTTTCACTTTTCAGTTTTAGCACACACATGCATGGAAGAATCTATGTAGCATTTATGTAGAGCTTAAAAAAACACCCACCACACAGATCTTTAAAGGGAAAAAGAAAACTTCCCTGTAATTGCTCCTTTGTCCTTTTAATTTTTTCTTGGCAAGTATCTTCTGAAATTACTATTTTAAGCTAATATTTTTTGCTTCATTTTATTACCGGATTGCTTTTACATCTTAACCATTTATGCCAGATAATAAGTTTGTAAATCTTAACATCAAGAAAAATATGTGCATTTGGTACCTTTTATCCTCTGCACTCAAAGAATTTGCCTTTGGATATCAAGTAATTACAACTGATAAACTTTCTATAAATTATAAAAGCTGAAATGCACATATATTGTGTATGTATCTGTAGTTTCAAAAACAAACAAAAAAACACACCAAACTCACTGCCATCGAGTTCAATGCTGACTCATAGCGATTCCGTGTGGGTTACCGAGACTAGAACTGTTTATGGGAATAGAAAGCCCAGTCTTGCCCCATAGGAGCTGCTGATGGTTTTAAACTTCCAACCATGCAGATCGCAGCCCAACTCATAACCACAACCCCACCAGGGCTCCTATTTGCAGTTTGCTTCATGTAAATAAACATACTTGGCTTTATATATACTATATAAGCATATTTGATATACAGTGCAAGTATATATATAGGATTACTTTATGCTAATTTATATGCTCGATACAAATATGAATATCCAAAACCTAATTTAAATAATTTAATAAGGCACCATTCATTTCAAGTTAAAAGTATAGTGTATTTAAGTTTCCTTTTACAGCCTATATCATATATACTGTGATTACAACTGCGGAGCCCTGGTGGTGTAGGTGTTACTCATTAGGCCACAATCCCCATGGTCTGTGATTCGAAACCAGCAGCAGCACTGAGGGAGAAAGACTGGGCTTTCTGCTCTGTTAACAGCTACCGTCTCAGAAACCCACGGGAGGTCGCTATGAGTCAGCGCGGGCTCGACGGCAGCCAATTTGGTTTTGGTTATTACAGTTTTAGTATTCTTCACTTTTCTCTGTACTTGAAAATCTTCAATATGTGCGTAAACTGTTCTACATGTTCCAAGGCTTTTGTCATGAACTACTCTCTAAATTAGAAGGTTGGCCAAAAATTAAGTGCACAGCTAGTAGGCGCATTGTTAGAGTGACAATGAGCAAACCTGGACCAAACGTTTCCACGTGGTTCCAGCTGAAGATCAAAAAGGGTACTAAAGAGTCTCCTAAAGCGAAACATGCCATCAATACAATTTCGATCCCTCCCATCAGCATATTCACTCCTGAGTAATGGGCCTGGAAGACAGTATTGAACAGCGCCCCACCCAAAGCCTAGTAAGGAGGTTTGTCGCTCCTTACCAGTGGTGATGTCATCATCCACAAGGTCATGCTCTTCCTCCTGGACCTTGGTCTCTGTCCCTGAGGTGTCCGGAACAGCAGTGATGGTCTGAATGGCTTCTGCTGTAACTCCAGCTAAAACAAATGGAAAATGCAGGTTTCACTTTTTAAAGTTTCAAAAAATAGACCCAAGTCTTTAATGCTAGAATTTACTTATTGGATGCAAATGCTTTACTATTTCATGAATATTAACATGTGCTTTTTTGAAAAATAATCATATTTTTCATGGCTACAGAGGATTTCCTTCTAAACATGATCTGGAAAAACAAAAGGGTGCTGACGTACATTTTTACTGAACTTCCATGTTTTTGTGTTATTTTAGCTGATGTAGACAGAAAGCTGGATTGGTAAGTGAACTGCTGTAAAACTACTTTTTATTAGTAGTTTGTTTATAAATTGGAGATTGGAAGAATGGAGACAAAAGTGGGATTTACACACTGGGTCGAAAGAAGAGACCTTGAATCTAGTGCCTGAAACAGTTCAGCACCTTACGCTAGGAGAGGATTAGATCTGAAGCCAGAGAACTGCCCCACTGGAAGACCCTCCTTGAAAGCAGCTGTTGACTAGATCAGGGGATCAAGCAATTCCACCTGAGAACTTGATGTATGTGAATCCCTTTGCTGACCAACCTGTTTGCCCACTCGAATCCGCGAGTTCAATTTTGGGTACAAAACATTCTTTTGAGGGGAGCAATTAAATGGTCAAAGAAATTCTTCAAAAACTAAGAATCAGAGTACTATTCACAGAGCATTTGCACTATCTTTTAGTCTTGTAAATAATCTAGAGATGATTTAAATTCAGGAAGAAAATAAAAAGAATACAGAAGGATGTGCACATCTCATATGTATGCTGTCCTAATGTTTTCAATTTTATTTCTCTACTTCATTTCAAGTGGTTCTAATATCCACTGCAATAGCTACACAAGGCTCACAGACAAAATCCATGAGTAATGGGTTTATTAAGGAAGCTAACAAGTTGTAATGCCAGTGCCAGTGTGTAAACTCAGGGTTGAGTTTTAAGGATCTGTTACAAAGTTCTTCCAGGTCTGTTAATAAATGCCCAAAGGGGCATACCACTCCCCTATGAGGCTCAACCTGTAGGCATTCTAGTTCAAGCTCAGCAGGTCAGCAAGCCCAACACCCAGAGGCACCCACTACTCTATAACTTGCCTCCTCCACAAAAGCACTCAGCTTTACATGCTCCCTGGGTTGAGAAGTCCACCACTGTTTCACATACTGGCTCCTGGTTCTGCTGCTGCTCTGACATTGGATTTTCGGGATTGAGGACGTTCTCTGAGCAGAGATCTCAGGTCCAGCGTACTCACTGCTGGCTCTTACTTGTAATGAGATGGCTGCGTCTCAGAGGGCTCATTTTATATGCAGCAGGAGGGCACGCCTATTGGTGATTTCTCACAGTGAATCCCATTTGTCTCTTCCCTTCCCGTGCAGAAAAACTTCCTTTGGTGGGAGTTATAAATCGGAGATTGGAAGAATAGAGACAAAAGTGGGATTTACGAAGTTAGAGACTTTGACTAGCAGAGCCATGTTAAATGATTCTCTGCCCCTACAATATGTGTACAGTATACCATTTTATAAAAGGGGATTGAGCATGTGTGGATTTGGGTATCCCCAGGGGTCCTGGATCCAATCCGCGACAGATACCAAATAACGGCATTTCACTTTCCCCAGTGGTGCAAATGGTTTGTGCTCAGCAATTACCAAAACATTGGCTGGGCCACCCACTACTGAAAGGTCATGGCCCTGACAACCCTCACAGGCTGGCTACTCTGCAACACCGCGTAGCCCCCCAAATGTCTGAAATCCCAGGATGTATGAACGCAAACGCATCTGTGTCCAACTCAATCTTGCTGCTTCAGGATTACCAACAGAGAAAGCGAAGAATTTTATTAGTGAAACCACCATTAGTGAATTCAAACTAGACCTATAAGTAGGCAGTTTCCAAGTTCTAATGATTTTAACTTGGGGAGAAAAGGCACCAACTTACTACTGGCACCTGTTCAAAGTTTCCCTACCCCAAATCAATCAATCAATAAAGCATCGCTAAACCAATGTTCTATGTAGAATGCCAAATAACAATGGCATCCCTTTACAAATGTGTTTTTAATTAATCATTTCGACAGAGGAGACCTCACCTCAGGTGGGGTATGTTTTCAAGATGTGGAGAGAAGGAGAAGACCATTCAGTGGCTGCCATCCAACAATGTGCTTAAGGTCACCCCACGTCCACAGAACTCGTACAAGAGTGATAAGCGAACCTTGTTGGAAACTCAAGTGAAGATGAGGGGGAGGGCATGTATGTCTGGGGGAAGGCAATTACATTTCTGCTGGTAGGTAAACCTGGAAGAACTATTTCCCATGTGGAAAGAAACACTTAGCAATATGTATATAGAACACAAGGGGAGAACAAGCCCACTACTGTGTTCCTAATTGGACACTTTTGACCCAGTTTCTAACCAGCCCTTGGTGACCAAGGCTGTGTGCGATTGACTACTGGGACTTTAGAATGTCCTTATGAGGCACACCACATCCTTCAGCGGCCACATCAGAAGGATTCGATGTGGAAACCACACTAAATGAACTGGGACTTACCTCAATCTGACCTGTAGCAGATTTAAAGAACGGGCATACCCATTGGACTTCAGGCTGAACTGCCCTAGTGTGAGAAGCAGCAGATGACTGATATCCCAAAGTTACGAATTGACAGTCATTGGACTTTAGTCTGGAGCTCTTGCTTTGAGGGTGTCCAGTATCTGGCAGCCCAGAACCACCCTATTTTTACTGTTTTAATGCCCTCCTTGTTCTCTTATGACATTAATCTGGTGGGAATGGATCCACCTTTATGAACATTATTGAAAGTTATGCCCAATCACCAACCTCCACTGTGTGGTGTCCAGTCACTTCCAAGTCAACAATTCATGAATTCCAGTCTGAAGCAGGCCTAGACTTGTAAAATTTCCTTTTCTCAATAGTATTTTAAATTCTATATCATTGGATAAATTAATTAATTACCTTATGCCTCAGTGGAATCATTTATAATGTTCTCTATAATAAAATGGTAAGGATGTATCTAAAGGAAACCAGAGACATATGTAAACCAAAGATATGTGAATGGATTTGGGGCTTGCACTTAAATTCTGGCCCTAATGAAAGAACAATTAGCTCTTATGACATGGCTCTGCTCAATGCTTGCCCTCATGAAAAGATCAATGAAGATATGGGTGCCACACCAAAGTGTAATGAAAAAAACCACATGGTGCCCAGGTATCAGAAAGAATATTGTCTGGAGTTTAAAAGGCTTGTCTTAAAACAGCAGCCACCTATGTCTACATGGAACAAATACACCAGCCTGTGTGCTCCAAGGTTTGTAAATAATAAAACCAAAATTCGGAGGAGGGAATGGTATCAGAGCTTAAATTGTGAACACCCATTTGCAGGGTTCCCACACAGATTAAGCCTCCTGTGAATCCCCTCTAGCCATAGTTGAGGGATGTGAATAGCCTTGCTATTATACATACAGCATTGTAAATTCAAGGGCAGATGCAGTTAGGTTAAAATGTAATACCTTATCATTTCATAGTTGTTTCACTTTTTATCACTGTCTGCTTTCTTCTCAATTGAGTTTTTCCTGCATTTTGTCTAGTCATTGTGGTTATGTTTGTTTGCTTGCTTCCTGTTTGTGTTTTGTGTGATTTTCTGTGTATGAAATCAATGATAGGTAGTTCTGTAGAGACAGCAACTGGATTGATAATTGCCAAGGGCACGGCAGAGGAGGATGGGGGGAAATGGGGAGCTAACCACATACAGTGTGAGAAGAAAATGTTCTGAGATTATTGTGGTGATGAATGTACAAATCTTAATGACTGGATGATTTAATTGTGTGATTTATGAAGTAAGTATATGTCAATAAAACTCTTTTTTAAAGTATTTTTAATTATCACATTTACAAAATACAATTTTAAAGTAGAGACCTTACTAGAAGAAATATCACCCAGCTAATCACTTAATTAAAGATAGCAGGGCATAAAGCCATCACAAAGTAGAAGAAGGTAGACAGACCATTTCTAAATAGAGATTTGCTTTTTAAGTACAAAAATCAAAGGACATTATTTCATATTATTGAATCAAAATATATATTGGTGAACTCTCCCAATCTTGTTCTTCCCTTGATCTTGGGTGTTTTTGTAAATAATAACAGACAGGGAAAGCACATTAAGACAAAAGTGTGGGTTGCAGCAATTATTTATTTTCCATTTCTATAAAATCAGAGAGTCTGCAAGCAATAAAGTTTACAAAACTATGTACATTTACCCCAGTTGGTCAAACAGATTAAGTGATTGCTCAAAATAACACAGCTACTAGATTCAAGAACCAGGATTGAATTGAGGATCAGTTAAATATCCCAACTCCAGTCAAAAGACTGAGTTGGAATGATAACCTACCTAAGAATCCTACCTAACTTTGCTAGAAGACAGAAAAGGTCATGAGAATGGAAAGACCAGTGCACTACACTCAACTCTCACATTCAGATGGTGTGGATCACTGGAAACTAATTTTTAACAGCTTTATCCTAAGGAAATAATGAGTGGTGTTCTCAATTTCAACTTTTGAACAATACAGTTGTTTTAAATACAGCTAAGTCATTATTGAACTCTTCTACACACTATGTGTGTATGTATATATATATATATATCCAGTTAATGCCATAAGTTGGTTATCTCTAGGCTCCACAGTATTTGGCTACATGTTACCTCAAGATAACAGGTAAACTTTACAGTAGACAGCCTAGGAAAGGCAAAACCATAGGGGCAGATCCCAAAGCAGTGCTAGCCAGGAGCTAGGGCGTTGGTAAGAAGATTGACTACCGAGAGGGAAGAGAAGATCTTGTAGCATGATAATAATCTGTATTGTATTATGAAGGTGGACACCAAAATCATAAAGCTATTTACTAAAAAGGGTGAATTTTAATATACATGTATTATATCCTCGTAAGCCTCATTAAAAAAAAGAAGATTCCATAACATCATCGTAACTAATAAGAACTGTGAACCCAATGCTA